TAAGGATTGAGTTCTCAAACCCTGATAAACCAACACCCTCGGTTCAGGAATTGGATTGGATGTGTCGGGTTTGATTTTATTTGGACTGTGTTTTCTGTCTAGGTTTTCGTTTCAGGACAGCAAGTGTCAGGCTTACGGTTGAGGTTTTTGGGCGCAGGCTTTTGGGTTGAGGTGGTTTTGCGATTCTGGTTTAGAGTGCAATGACCTGCAGTGTTGTCGTTGGGACCACTGTTTCGGGGTCCTTCTTCCAGAATCGAACGCAAACCTTTCATGCCGCGACAACGGCCAGCAGATCAACCGTTACCCAGAGCTTTGGCACCGTATCACAACTCCCCAAACCAGGCAAGAAGGATAGCCCAAGCCCGCGGATTCGGATCTATAGGCCTAAACCCACTCGAAAAGACCATAAAAGTCAGCTTCCCAAGCCCTAACACTAATTCCCAGAAGGGGAGTCCGGGACAAACCTGCTTACGACCCAATCACCAAGCCTACGAACCTTGATTAAATGATCCCTTAAACTCGTTAAACTGTAAACCCTACACTCTCAACCATAAACCCTAGATTTCAAAATCACTGAACCAAAAAACATCACAAGCTCTGCCAGCCTTTGAACCCTAGCCCCGTGTGAACTTTAAGCCTATAGAGCCTGAAACGTCGAAGGCGCCCAGTGCGCCGGGAAGTGAACATCCACCCGCCGCAGCGGGACCCAGAGTGTCAGTCGTAGGGTGCAACCCTAACCCCCCCNNCCCCCGGTACCTACTATGTAGGGTACTAGAGCCCCTAGGGCCCTTTCTAGTAGGTACCTGGGGGTTAGGGTAATGTAGGGGCATAAATAATTCCCTATACTATTTTGGGGGGGCCCCTAATTATATTTAGAGTATAACATACCGCAAACACCTCTTCGAATCATTCATTAAGGCCCCTGGGCTCGTGAAACGGAGTCTACTAGTCATTATGTAGACTTGATGTGGAGGATGTTGGTTTCTGCAGCTCCAAAACCCTAAACCCTAAACCCCTAAAACCCTAAACCCTAAACCCCGCTTCATAAGACGGTTAGTCGCATAGCAAACGTGTACAGGATGCCGGTTTGGGTGTTGGACGTTCTGGTTGGAGGGTTCGGTCTGATTCAACCCCTCGCTTAGTCAGGATTATAGCAAGAAGTCTTAGTATTGAGGCCGCCAACGGGAAATTTGGGTTACTAATTAATAAATGTGGGGGGTATCCGACAATAGGGGACCCTAATATAGTACCCTATATAGTAGGATCCTTATTATAAGCAGCCCAAAATAAGGCACCCCTTGTTTCCGGAAACTCCCATGTTAGTATTTGAGTCTCACTTCCGAGTTGTGAGATCCTTGGCATCTAAGCCCATTATAGGTGGGTAGT